AGAATATGGGTGTGGGAAATATGGCAAAGACAATAAACTGACTAGATAAAGTAATGTCTATTGGTAACATGCTTATATTATGCTTTACACTCTAGTTTCTTATTCACTCGCCCCTAAATATTTTACATCAGTCAAAAAGTCTCTTTTTGGCTGACTGAGCGGTGTCTGGCCAGAATGAGATGTAATGTGGTTCAGACTCGCTATGCCTGTAGTCAGAGGTCTGGCTACATCATGGCTGCATTTGAAATCACATACTCTCTGAGTAGGTGCTTTTGATTAAGTAAATTCTTTGCAACTGTTTTAAAGTTATGTTCTATATAGTATGAAAGTGTGTAGTATGAATGAAACCAGGGTGTACTACATTTTTGTCATGCTGTCATACTGTTTTTTGCAAACCATTTTTAGGGAAGTATGTATTTTTAGAAATGGTCAGTGTGAGACTACAGACTACCCTTAACCACACCCCAAACAATGCCACACCCTTAACCACACCCCCTAACAATGTCGCACCCTTAACCACACCGCCTAACAATGGCGCACCCTTAACCACACTCCAAACAATACCACACCCTTAACCACACACCCTAACAATGCTGCACCCTTAACCACACCCCCTAAAAATGCAGCACTCTTAACCACACCCCATAACAATGCCATACCCTTGACCACACCCCCTAACAATGCTGCACCCTTAACCACACCTCATAACGATGCCACACCCTTAACCACACCCCCTAACAATGCCGCACCTTAACCACACCCCCTAATAATGCCGCACCCTTAACCACACCCCCTAACAATGCAGCACCCTTAGGCACACCCCTAAACAATTTCACACCATTAACCACACCCTCAAATTATGTCACACTAGGTGTGTTCGACTTGTGACGAGATGTCTGCTGTCTAATCACTCTCGCGGAACTTTGATGACATAGTCATACACCGATCGATCTGCGCAGCACCGCTTCAAGTCGAACACACCTACTATGTTCGACTTTTTTTTTTTCTCTGACTTGAGACAGCGCCGACTCCATGTTACTGTGATGTATAGCATGAAAGTACTGCGAGAGCGTTTCGAGAGCAGTCGCCTGACTTAGCCGGCACAGTTTCTCCAGAGCAACTGCAGGAGCGCTGATGACGACACAGCTGTTTCACGATTGGATCATATTCACCACATGACAACGATGACGTGTGTTTCGGGTTTATTCTGACACCTATTCCACTAATGCTCAAAAATCTGTGTTTTCATAACAGCAAAAGCTTGTTTACTGTAGTTGCAATGTTATATTGAGTCACGTAACACGTTTATCAAAAAACTCTGATAAAAGTATATAGACCCACTTTATTGGTATTTAAATAGTATATATTTATGTTGAACTTTATTCTTGAACAGATGGCGCTGTATTAAGAAGTATATGAAAAGTAGTTTTGTTGTGTCATGAAAACGTTTCTGAAACATCTGTGTATTTGACAAATATTGCATTTAATTCACTTCATCTGTGATAGAATATGCAAACACCGCACGAGCGTCACTACCGGGAGCTGAAAGTGTCCGACTTGACATTTCTGCTTTCAATTCCGCCCCCGACTGCAAGCGGCAACTCTCGCCGATCGGTCTGCGCAGCGCCGCATGAAGTCAAACACACCTAATGCCACACCCTTAACCACACCCCCAAACAAAGCCACACCCTTAACCCCACCTCCAAACTATATCACACTCTTATCCATACCCCCAGACAGTAGGTGTGTACAAATTCATGTGTGCTGTGCATGCATTCCTGCAATTGCAGTCTGATTTGAAGAAGTACATGCCAGTTATAAATTTTGTACAACTTGAGATTGTGCCAACGCCAGATCACTGTGACATCAGCCATCAAAATACATTCTGCACAGCTTTTACAGAGCAGCTGCACAAGCTCTGATGACGACACAGTAGTTTCACATTTGGCCGGATTCACTGGTGACGACGATGATGTACATTACATGTTTGTTCTGACATGTTTGCAATTCTGCTAATGCAAACAAATACCTGTTTTTATAATAGGAAAAATATTTTCATCTTAATGTTATATTGTCATGTTTATCAAAACAAAATTGATAAAAAAATATAGTCCCCACTTTATCGGTATTTAAATAGTATAGGCTTATGTTGAACTTTATTCTTGTAATACAGGCCCTGTATTATGCAGTACATAGAGTATTGAATGAAAAGTGTTTCTGTTGCTACATAAAACCTTCACAATTGTCTGTGTATTTGACAAATGTTGCATCTAATCCACTTCATCTCTGGTAGAGTATGCAAACACTGCACAAGTGTCACTGTAGCAAGCAGAAAGTGTTCGACTTCATGTCTCTATAAGCGGCAAATCTAGTTGATCAGTTAAATCCAGCCACAGTCGAAAGTCGAACACCTAATATCACACTATCAGCCACACCTCCAAACAATATCACTCCCTCTTTTACAGTGTTTAACAGGTGTCTTTATCCTAGTGTTGTGAAAAAATGGCCTGGCTGCAGAAGAAACCAGAGAAGAATGAACTAGTAGAAATCAGAGCAGTAATGTTTTATTCTCTTGTACAGTTGTGGTCAAGTCATCCACTGCTGTGATGCAGCAGTGAAAATACTCTTAATGTACAGCTCAGAGAGAGAGAGAGAGAGAGAGTGAACGGGTGTATGTGTTTTTGTGTGGTGAGATAAATATATGAATGGTGATGCTGACTCATAAAACAGTATGTGAGAGAGTGTGTGACTGTGGTGTTAAAATACACTCAAACACACTAGATTAACACGTGCACAAGGTATGTGTGTGTTAACTTAGCTGCTGGAATGAAAATGGTGACATATGGCCAAAAAACACCATATTTTGGAACCAAACTATAGTTATCCTCTGCCCAATCTCATTTAGCCCCTCCCCAATATATATTAGTCCCTCCTCATTCGTTTCAGCCTGTTTCTTGCTCATCCAGTACTAATTGCTACTTACAAATGCTGAAAGATCATTGAGAGTGGCTGATGCCAGTGGATGTCTGTTTGTTTGTTTATACTGAAAGAATCCTTTTTTTCTTTAAAAAAAAGGTTTTTAATTCACATTTTTACAGTCATCCATTTGTTAATACTATGTGTTCATGTGTGTACATTGTATTGTTTACAAGTTTGAAGCTGCTAGTTAAAATACAATGTGGATGGGCCTCTTTTAAAATGACCCTCTTTTCAAAAGCTCTAAGAGAAGCCCATTGCAGGTTTCAGATCAGAGGGAAGGGGATCCCCTAATGTCTGTGGTGATGCAGTTGCAAAATGTGATTGAATCTCAGTTCATCCATCAGCGATATGGATTCCAAAGCGAACAGCTTTAGTGGCTGTCAGAGCTGATGGCTCAAACTTTAGAAAGTTTTCGGTGAGGTGCAGATTTGATCTGTGTGAATGAATGTGGGATTTGAAATTTGGTGATTTTTCTTGACACCTAGTCTTTGCTTTTTGTGAATTCAAGTTTACAAGAGTGAGTGTGTGTGTGTGTGTGTGTGTGTAGCTCTTTTTGTTTTTTTTTTCTGCTTTTATGCATGTTAATTTGTGTCTAACAATAAACAAATTCATCATCCAATTAGAAAAAATGTGTCAGAGTCTCGCAAGAGAGTGAATACAATGCAGGTACTTCAGGATGAGTAACTGAGATTCTTTCTTTTGAAAGTCCTTTATCCAGAGCATGGCTTTACTACGTTAATTAGAAATGGTGCTTTACGAGAGTCTGCATGTCATCGAGAAAAGCCCACTCTGACTTCCTGTAATTTAACAGGAGTGAGATAACACAGAGCAACTCTCCAGTTCTCTTCTTACTCTCAGACATACTTTACTGAATCCTAATGACCAAAACCCAGCACTTTCTCCTATAAAGACGTCTAAAGAATGTGATTTCTGCACCACTAGCATCGCAGCATCACTCTACAAAAAAACTACATGTTAAACTGGGATAGGAGAAAATATTTTAGAATAGATAAACTCACTGATGTCATTCTTACATGACATTTCAAACTAATCCAGACGTTGGCTTATTCGATGGGCTGAACCATTTATTAGAAAGAGGGGGAGAGAGAAAGGGGGAGAGAGAAAAATGAGGGTACAGGATGGGAGAAACTTTCAGTTCTGTGGTTTACTACTGTGATCTCACTCTGTTTCTCATTCCTGACACACACACACACACACACACACACTTCAGTAGGATGGCTGACGGTGGTTCTCTTTGGATTTTACGCTTTTGGACTGCAGATGGAGATGAGACAGTCCTGCAGGGCTTCCATGTGTGATGTTTAGTGTGATATAATACAAATACTCTGTTGCAATTGGCCAGTATGGTTATTTTGGAATGCCTCAAAACAAGACAGTTAATATAAAAGAACACTGATTGGCTTTTCACACTTGAAATTGTTTACCCAGGAGTTATTACAAATAAATACCAGGGGTGTTTAATCTTGGGTTGCCAGGCTTTGAGATTTCACACTGTACATTTTTAAACCCATTTGTGGATGGAATTTATGGTCTTATTTGCATATTTACAAGCGTAATAACATTGACTGGACAAGTACAACACGTGACAAGCAGACAAACTGTTTTAATAACTGCTTGTCCATCTGGCTGTGAGCTTTGTTGTCCCTGTGGACTTCTATAAAATAAACTCTCTTAAATGACTGAAAATCTGGGGCTGGGACAGTGGTAAAACAATACAATCTTTTATTTTTTTGGCTTTTAAAATCTACCCTAAAATGCATTAGGAAAGTTGCCAAGGAAGATATGATTAAAACATATATATTTAAAAATATTTCAATATGACATCAATAACACAGAAATATTACAGAACCTCTCTATGTATTACAGGTTAATACAGAACCAAACAGCACAAATCTCCACTTCTTTTGTGTTTTGTAGAGAATGTTCTTTTTTTGTGCTAGTGCTACATTAACGTCTCTCTCACACTTTCTCATTCACTGTCTCCTTCTCTTCCTCTGCAGGCTCCAACTATTCCAGTCCGTCGTTGGCTCCAGTCCCCAGTCTGAATGAGGACGAGCATGTGGGGGACGGGGGTGGGGTGCTGGGTCTTGCACCTGAACACATTCCCACCCCTGGTGCCCCACTCAACTGGCAGGCAGCCATCAATGCGGCACGGCAGGCCAAGCTGATGGGCACCACCGCAGCCCCGATCTCCACTGCGAGCTCCACACAGTGCAAACGCCAGCACTACACCAAACCCAAGAAACAGGCCAGCACTGCCTCCACGCGCCCACCCCGAGCCCTTCTCTGCCTCACTCTTAAAAACCCCATCCGCAGGGCGTGCATCAGTATCGTGGAATGGAAGTATCCTTTACTGAACTCTGACCTGTTTGTCATATACAGTATATACACTACTGTTCAGAAGTTTGTGGTCGGTAAAGTTTTTGAAAGGGTTAATGTGATGATGGTAGTAGAATGTCTCTTATGCTCACCAAGACTGCAATAAAATCAGTAATATTATGAAATGTTATTTCAAATTAAATATTTCAAA